CAGTAGTAACAGATATAAAATTTATAGTTTTATCAACAATATAAAATACCTCATGAGGTTTGGTCAGTAATAATAAAATGAGTCAGCCAACAGTACAGCTACAGAAAATAGATTGTTAATTTATACTTTAATTACAAATATGAAAAATGTTAACCCTAATCACTGATTTTCGAATATGAATCCCTTATCGTCCAATCGGAATATGTTTTATATGTGTCTTATGTATAAAATATAACTATTTTCAGGTAAAAGTTTTGATGAAAGAGATAGTGGAGCGGGATTGACATTTGTACATTCTAATTCTTATAACCGGAGTACTTGAAGAGAACTTTGTTGACAACGTTAAAGGTACAATCGATTGGTGGCAGTTTTTACAGACATTAAATATCATGTTCAACAGATTTGTGGACTTTTAAACAAACTAGTACGCAAACCTATTTCTTTATAGGTATCAATTTTAGTGTTTTATTATCTGTATTTGCTTGGTTTTTTTAATGACATTTTAATTCTGCTTTATAACTAAGATATTTTAGATAAAGTATTTATTTTTAAGTTTTTAACATTTAAGGTTTTAACAATTCACAATGAATTTGTGCATCTTACCTACTGCGGAAGGAGTCGTTTATTTTTATGAAGGTTCTGATGAAGTTTTATCCCAGGGGGCATTAATTAAACAACATCTACCTATTACTGAAGATTGTTAAGTTGGATATCATTATGCTTATTCCAATGGTTATAGGGTTTGTTTGGGAAAAGGAAAATGGTTATCGAATTTTGAGAAATTGTTTTCAGTAAGTTTTGTATCATAGTTTGAACGTTGTAAAATTACTTATTAATTTGTACATTAAAAGTTTAATGTGTGGTTATTATTGATAATAATTTATTTTATTTTATAGAAATGTGTCCACCTCTAAGATCAGATAGTTTAGATATTTAATGTACTCTTAATGGTAAGAATGCTAATTGTCCAAATTTATCGATACCCGATACAATAGCAACACTTTCATATAAGCCAACATATGCTGCACCAAATGGACAAGAAGAGACTCCGATTGAATTACATTGTCAATCTAATGGGATGTGGAATAAACAACTTTTAGATGCGATCCATGTAATTCTAATTGTGATCGTATATAAATATTAGTTTCTAATTTATATTATATATTTTACTAATTTACTACAGTGATTACATGCATTTTACCAACTGTTAAAGGAGTTGTATATTCTTATGAAGGTTCTAATGACATTTTATCTCATGGCGCATCAATTAATCATCGTTTTACTGTTATTGAGAACTGTGAAGTTGGATATCATAAGAGTTATCCCAATGGTTTTAGAGTTTGTCAGGAAGAAGGAAAATGGCTATCAAAGTGGTTATTATTGATAATAATTTATTTTTGTTTATAGAAATGTGTCCACCTCTAGAATCAGATAGTTTAGATATTAAATGTACTCTTAATGGGAAGAATGCTAAATGTTCAAATTTATCGATACCTGATACAATAGCAATACCATCATGTAAGCAGTCATATACTGCACCAAATGGACAAGAAGAGACTCCGATTGAATTACATTGTCAGTCTAATGGGACTTGGAACAAACAACTATATAGATGCGATCCATGTAATGTTATTTTCTGTCATGTAAACATTAATTTTTAATTAATATATATTTTACAAATTGATTTAACTTTTACTGTATCCAAATTCTTTTGTTTGTTTTTTGATAAAATTAATGAAGTTTAAACAATCATTGATTACTTATAAACTTCTGATGTAAATTTTTAAACAGTCATCATTATGTCTATTCTATAGACGTTATTACTTATCAGTTACTATTATGGATATTTATATTCAAATATAATTTTAGATTGTGGTAGAGTATTTATCATAAACAATTTATTGATCGACCATGGAGAAAATGCCCTTGTTGGAACAGCGCCTTGGAATATACCAATTAAATAAAATAAAATCCAATTATGACTTGATTTGTGGTGGATCAATAATTGCTCCAAATTTAGTAGTCTCTGGTAAAATCTTTGTTCATCAAATTTAAGAATGAATTAAAATTAAATAAATATTATTTTTAGCGGCTCCTTGTTTTTGGCGAAAAAGTATGTTATCAAAGATAATGTCAACAAACGACGGCCAATACAAAATTGCTGTTGGAAAATATGCTGGAGATTTTACAGTTGTTGACCATGACTTTACTAAAATAGTTAATGTAAGTTATTCATAACTCAAAATAACAATAATAATATATTGTATAATATAAACTAAATAAATTGTACAGGTGGAAATGATTTACCTGAAAGAAGATTATTATGGATCTACTGGGTTTCATGCTGAAAATATAGCTATTCTCGTGTTACAAAACCGAATTTCTCTGAGTAACGGCGTTTCACCTGTTTGTATCGATTAGAATGGTAAATACAATGTTGTAAATGGTGATCAAGGAAAGGTTGGTTTGAAGTATTATTTAAATACTAAACTTGTGATTTAATTTATGCAGTGGCGTGTAACATAGGGTCCAAATGTTGCTGAGTCAACACCTTAAATATGGGTGGGTGGGTATTGATAAAAGAAAAATAGGGCATTTTAAAGGTCGCTATAACAGTATAATGAGGGGTAGGTCACCAACAATTATTGGAGCAACACCTATTTTTTTATGGTACACGCCACTGAATTTATGTAAGGAGCAATTACCGTGCTAAAGCATGCATACATGTTGGCATGTTACAAATTACAATATATATCTAAACAAATCTGAAATTCAAATTCTTTTTTCATATTTGATTTAATTCCAAAATTAGAATACTTTGATAAGTCAAAATGTGTCTAACTAATTATTAAAAACAAAAAGACTAGGAGGTAAATATGATCTAACAGAATCTAGTCTTTTATAATGGCTTTTCCTTCATTTATACACTTGAATATGATCAATAATGAATAGTTTCTGTTCATAATGCCATAATCGTCAAATGATTTTCGTCTTCATCCTTGTTTCTTTTTAGAACTTTCAGCATTAGAAATATATTTTAAAGATAAGTATAGTCGGTCCACTGAGAGACTGGCCGGCGACCAATCCTTACTCGTTCGATCTCGCTCATTCTCATCACTAAACCTGCCGGCTAGGTGGTAGAGTGGGTGACGAATCCACGGAGCTCAATCATTTATTTTGTATGCGTGAAAGAGTAAGAGAGTCCAAGAGTAACACAGTACATCACATACATTTTTAAATTAACTTATCTCCTCTGCTGTTAGTTGTAATGCACAGGTTACCTTTTATTTGACTTTTTTGTATGAAAACGATCATTTCAATTATGTTATATAATATATCTAGATTAACCTATTGCTATAAATACTAAACGGTTAGAAAAACTTTTATTAAATTAAAACAACCGTTTAATACAACACCGAGGTATGTGGATAGTCGTTCTAATTATTTAAATATTTTGACCCCACGTCGAATTTTGTTTCTTTCATCCTATCTATGTTAGGGTTTTACATGTCAAAATAAACTATTATACTATAGTATAACCTAACCTAACTTAATGTTTGCTCTCGTACCGTGTAAATATAGAAAAACGTTACTGTTTACAATAATCATTATTTATTTTTCTGTTTTCGATTTCTGTCTTCGCAAAAAAATCATAGGTTTGCAGAGGGCCCCTTGTTTGATGGCATGAGAGATGAACAACGACGACGGAAGACAATCTGACAGGAGTGATTACATGAGGATAATACGGGCTTGGTCATTAAATAAAACTTCAGCACCACTACGACCTGAAACATGTGTTGCACATCGTCGCCCCCAACAACATGTTCAAGAAGTTCATCAACTCCCGAATGGTGGAGAACAAGCTTAAACCACTACAAAGCCGACAAAAGTAGCAGCTAAGGAGACGGACCTAGCTGTCATCCGTCCACGACCGAATTCATATTACTGGATTTTTCAGCCCGATGTTATGTTAACGAGATGTGAGACATTGGATGGATCATGCTCGATCTGTGGCTATAGGCTAGGGTGACTAGTTTTGCAACAAAAAAAAGCATGCATATTTTTTTAAAAAATATTTTTTATATTTTATAATTACAATTTATAATTAAAATATTTTTTAACTTCTTCGCTTAATATTTTAATAAAAAACTTGTTTACTTATATTATGTTGATGTCGATTGCTCATCATGTCCTTTACTATCTATTGTGTCGTTACTGTACTTTTGCGATGAACTGATTGCGTTCAACAGTTTTGGTTGTGTTNTAGCAATGAAGTTGATTTGAACCCTGAATACAAATTTCTAAATAACGACTTATAATATTGAAGGGTGTATAGTCTATGCGTCTAGACAAACCTAGTTCTTTTAATCGTCTTTTCGATGTACGAAGACTAATATTTATGTTATGTTTTAATGACGAATTTGTTATTATTTCATTATAATTAAAATTCATACGAAAATAATTTTCTATTAAACCACTTAAACTCATTATAAAACGCAAAATGAAAATGTAATTATTTAATATTCACTATTCAAATGACTCAACATTGTATAACTATTTATCTATTAAAAGTCAATAAACAATATTACTTTTATATTATTTACAACATAGAAAGTACCTTCTACCTATCATATTACAGCTGAAGACATAAACCCATGACTATTCTATTTAGTGATGACATAAACCAAACCATAATATACCATATACCTTCTCATCTATAATTGAAGATCAATCGGGAAAGATAAATAACATAATCAAAATATTTAAAAATGTTTACGCAAAACCTGCGAGTTTTTTGTCAAAATACTGAGTTGATAAGTCAAAATTGTGAGTTATTAAGTCGAAATTTTGAGTTGATAAGTCGAAATTGTAACAAATATTTTTTTCTAAGTGGCACTACTACGCTTCCGTATAACATCACAGTTGGGTAGACCTATTGTTTTAGGTCGAAACATGAGGAAAAACGACATAGGGATAATTATAAGACTCGCGACAGTAGTGTATCTAAATAAATGGCCTATAATACGCAGAGTTCCGTGTTCTGAAATCTGAATTATATAGATTTAAACACTCCGAATAATATTCTGTTTCGGAATCTGAAAAAAAAATGTATCATCCAAAGAATTCAAAAACTCTAAAACTGATAACAACATATTGTATTATAAATTATAATATCTATCATCTATGGCAAAAGCCGGTCGTCGTCACTCATCGGAGACGATTCACAAATCTAATAATTTCATTGAACAAAAGAAAAATGTGTAAGGCAGCAGCAAACATTCACTCACATATTTCATTCTACTCAAGTAATTTTTATAAAAAAAATCTCTATTTTTTCAGTTCGGAATTAGATGAAGAAAGAAGTTCCTCGATATGGCGTCTGCACACAAGATATGGCCTTGCAGCTATATACATTACCCGAAGAGTCGATGTATACGTAAGTTTGATTACATATTCTTTTGGGGCTTACATATTTTACTTTTAGTCTCAAAATTAAAATTTATTGCCACAGACAATTTGCTACCCGTGTGTAGTAGGGGCATATTTTTTGTTCCCGAGCGCGTAACACAAAAAAATACGCTAGCACAAACGGCGACGGCATATCCAGGTCGCAGAATAATAACATATTTATACAATTAAATAGATATAAATAGTGTTGTACATACTAGACACTAGTCATACTACAGTATACGGTAGTTCTTATGTCCCGCATAATTCAACAATTTTTATTTTTAGTTTATACAAATGTTAGGTAATATATTATGAATAATACTATGCCGTCTACTTGTGGTCGAACGGCGAATCAATGTGACGACGTCGTACATCAAACACCAAATTATTTTATAAAGCTGGGAAAGTCGCTCTGCTGATTATTGAATATCTATCGGAAATTACATA